TTGCTCTTGAGCATGGAGCTGTTAGAGCTACTGGACAAATATGCCTGCTGTGTTTAAATCTTGTCCTGTGGAGTAGGGCAACCTAGACACTTCATCCCCTAAGAGATGAGGCTACAATCCATGGGATTCCTGCACCCTTTATCAGAATCATCACACCTTATATGTGACCAGCAACAACCTTTACCTGCTGGCCCTTCCTTCTGCTTTATTTGTGTTTCACAGATACCAACCATTTATACCTACTCATGGTACAATTCTTGCTTTTCCTAGACATAATTGACTTATTTTTAGTTCTTTTTATTAATGTTTTCTTACACAGAGAAAGATGTTTTTTGTTGTTTAATGAATACATGCTCAGGAGAAGACCCAAATGTCTCGATATGTTAATAGTCTCCTACACATAAAGATTAAGTACACACTTTTAGAGTCACACTTATGTTACAGTTACTTTCATTGTGCTGCAAGAACTTTTCTCCTTTCAGCATCATTGTAGATTCACATTTAAGTAATTGTGGTGACTTACTAATGATTTTCTTTTTGGTGCACAAGTAATCATCTCATGATCACTGAAAGTTCAATAAGGTGATCTTTTGGTTTTTTAGTATTACTTGTAAGTTCTCTGGAGGCAGATTGGCTTTACAGCAATGCTATGTGTTTCTCAGAGTTGTCCTGATATTTCCTAACCTAAGCTATCCATTGAGCTGCTGTCCTAGGGCTTGATTTCTGTGATCAGAAATTGTTTTACAGATTGAAATCTGTCCACGAGAGGTGCATGTCGGAAGATAGCAGGCAGATGTGCTGCTACTTAAACACTTTGGTGATGTTAGAGCTAGAAAATGTTCTTGAATTCCCACTGAATTTTTTCTAGATCATATCATAGCATTGTATCTTAATTTTTTTTTTGAGTGAGGCTTTCTTCAGATAACACTTTGAGTCACATTGACAATAAGGAACTGAAGTTTCAATATGCAAAACATCTGATCATATTATTCTACATGAAAACACTTGAATTTACTGCAGTCCTTGCAAATATTTTTATGCCTTCCTCAACTGCCAACTCCTTATTTCTAACTATAACTCTCCCTTTGGGATTAATAAAAATTCCGCTCACTCCACAATGCCTCCCGTAAAATCACCAGTTAGAATTCTCCTCTAAGTTCACAGAGTATTAACTTTCCTATGGAGGTTATCAGTTATATGCTGTCACGTCTCTTTATACATATTTCATCTTAACTATTTACTCTGACCTGCCTGGAAATCAGAGCATGTTTTTATTCACCTTTGCACCCCTCCTACCTTTCTCCC